CAATGACATGAGACAAAGTATATGTGAACTGCTGTATGGAAAGTGAATTTGCTCTGTAAATCTTCACCCAAATCACAATTTGGAAAAAAAAAGTATGCTTGAAACTTTGAATCCTGCAGTTTTGGGGGCATCCATCACCTGCAGCAGATAGAGGGCCTTCCCTGTTGTCCCCTATTGTTGTTGTTGTTATGTGCCGTCAAGTCGGACCCGACTTATAGCAACCCCTCCTTGGGTTTCCAAGGCAGTATCACTACGGAAGTAGATTGCCCCATCTTCCTTCTGAGGAGTGGCTGGTGAGTTTGAACCGCCAACCTTCTGGTTAGCAGTCAAGTGCCTTAACCACTATGCTACCAGAGCTCCCGTTGACCCCTGCTTCATTTGTCTACCCCACTGTTTCATACACTTTTATTTTCTCTATGGGACATGATCTGAAAAAGGTCCAAAAGCACTGAGTAAGAATATAGATGCAAAACACTTTTCTTATGTACAAATAAACTAACAGTTTAAAGATTATCACAAGTTTCATAAAATGCTTTTCAACATACCTCTTTAGAGTAGCAAAGAAATAATAAATTAGTTGTGTTGTCTTTTCTGTTTTCTAAATTCCAAAGAAAAAAATAAACTTCTTCCACTAGAGCAAAATTTACTTACCCTTGTCTCCATTGTAAGTGCAAATACACGGCAATTTTTCTTGTGGATTCCATAACCTAACAGTGCCATCTGCCGAGCAAGATAGTAATTGATTTTTTATGCCACTGTAAGAAAGACCCCAGACTGCATCTGTATGAGCAACTAAAGTGCCACCTAGAACATTTGGCTCTGGAAGAAACAAACAAATAAATTAGCTAAAAGAAAACAATTAGAAGAAATACTTTGGTATATAATTTACCATATAATTAAATAGAAAGACCATACATAAACGCTATTAAGAAAATAAACCAAAGTGTACACAGTGGCTGCTTCTAAAAGGTGGAGTTACACGGGTTATTGTTATTCTCCCTACACTTTTCTGTATTTCTCA